TTTTACTGCCCCAAAACGTGATGACACAGAAAAAAAAAAAAAAAAAAACACATCCTGGTAAAATCAATACATTCATTGCACCGCTCAGAATCTAAAAATGTATTTAGTAATAGATTACAATTTACAAATATATTATTACAACATTATTGATGAAGTACTCAATTTAAACAAGAATCTCATTATCTATTTATTAGGTCAATGTAATGAATGTGTCAAATTTGAATTAATGATAAATCATGGTATCATTAGATGAAAATGTGAAACATATTTTTGAGCGGTAAATATTTAAATTGGAACTACCTATAAAATAATTTACACATTTTTGAGATTTTTAGTAAATTTTTTCAATGTAACTATATGTGAATAGATACCTATTTAGTTTGTCGTTAAATTTTCAATTTTCAATTACCCATAAAAAAAATAAACATTTATACATTTTAAAATTAATAAATTTGTTTTGTTATATTAACCAACATTAGTTTACTACAAGGCTGGGCAAGTTAATGATAATTTTTAACTGAATTAAGTTGATGGAAAATAATTTAAAAAGTTTAAAGTTAACAGTTCACCTAATTTTTTTTTAACTCTGTTAAGTTAAAAGTTATATGAAAATTTTCGATTAATTTATTAAGTTAAGATTTTTTTTTTAATATCTACATATATATATTTACCCAGCAATGTGGTTTAAAATTATAAAAATCATAAATATTATTGGACACGAAATAGGCAATAGTCAATAGCTTTTCTATATATAAAATTAAATTATTAAGTACTAGATTTGTATTAGCACCACAAACCCAAATAATTGATATTAAATGGAACTGAAATATGATGAAAAACCATGAGGGGGGGGACTCAAGTCACTAAATTAAATTATAAAATCCGTTTGAAAATATCATAATATATTTAATTTAAAAAGAATGGTATTAGGTGGTAGGTCACCTGAGCTGCTCGCGGCTGAGCTAAGCACGTGCACTGTAACAGTTTTGTTTATAATCAATGATAATAGTTTATCTTGCTTTTTTATATTTTAGAAATTAAACTGGCAATCCATTTTTCATAGACATTATTATTTACATTATTTACATTATTTTCATAGACCATGGCATAGAAATAAAATGAAAAAAAAACTCATAGTATTTTTTGAAAAATAATTCAAAAATAGCCAATTTATAGAGTTATTCATTTAAAATATGGACAAGTAAATAAACAATTTTGAAATTAGTTAAATTTTGAATGAACTACAACAACTTATATCCACAAAAATACGACATAATGTTAATTTAAAATTGTATATCCGGTTTTCATTTTGTTTTGACTAATTCTAATCCAATATAATCGTTATAGATTGTAAAAATTTTTAAATATTATAATATCGTTATTCTAAAAAACCGCGATGAATTTAAAATTACTACTAGTAGAGATGATCACTAGATAGTGCTATGAGTCAAAACATTTTCAATTGCACATTATCTTTAATCGTGATGTTGTTTGGTGTTTTTATGATAACATTATTTTGATGATAGTGATAAGAGCAATAAGAACGGTTTCCACAACGAATTTTTGAAAATCGAAGTTCAGAAAATTATTAATTATTATTATTCACAATATTTGTCATTTTATCCGATCGTTTTCACATTTAGTTACCTCTGAAAAAAAGTAAGACGGTCGATCGAGTTTTKAATTGGTTAAAATCCATGCAATTCGAATCGATATTGAATAAATAACCTTTTTGCCACACCGGTTTTTACATCAAAACTGAAAGCCAATAATACAGTAAGTTGTACCATCTGGGACTTAAGCTTTAAAAAAAAAACATAATTTATGTACTAATACCTACTTAAAAAAAATTAATTTTAATTAAATTAAATTTAATTTAATCAGAAATGAGTTTTAACCGCTACAAAGACGTCATTGAAGAAGGTGACACGGTCATATTGTACATAAATCCACAAGCCATGTATGCTATCCAAGCCCAGTCAGTAATCGAAAATCGCAAAGGAGAAAAGATCGAAAATGTTATGCAAACTAAGTATGGAGCATTGAAGATTTCTTCGTTATTTGGCAAACGGTTTGGATCAAAAGTGAGTTTGTCCAATGGATGGGCTCATGTTTTGTATCCAACACCTGAACTTTGGACACAGACATTGCCGCACAGAACTCAGATTATATACACACCAGATATAAGTCTAATTATGTTCATGTTAGAACTTAAGCCTGGTAGCATTGTGGTTGAATCAGGTAACATGTCKACTATTGTTATTTTTGTTTTAATTTATCCTTTGTATCTATATTCGATGTAATATATTATTTTTAGGTACCGGAAGTGGATCGTTGACTCATGCCATGGCCTTTAGAGTAAAACCTTCTGGACACATTTATACATACGATTTTCATGAACAAAGAGCAGATCAAGCCCAAAAAGAGTTTAAATCTCACGGTTTATCCGAAAATGTCACCAGCCAATGCAGGTAATTTGAATTTGTTTTGTTGATAGTGTTGGTGCTATACCATCAACAATTGGTTTTGAAGATTTGGTTAACTAGTATTAATTATATATTGATTCTTTTGTATACATAGAGATGTTTGTCAAAATGGATTTAGTGATGATGTTACCGGTAAAGCTGATGCTGTATTCTTAGACTTGCCTCATCCACATCTAGTTATTCCATTTGCTATTAAAGCTTTAAAACCATCAGGTAATTATAGAATTATTATTATTTAAGTGTTGGCTATAATCTATTTAATATCATACTGTCTTAGTAATAACTTATATCTAGCCTGGACTAAGACTAGGTACTTAGGATCATTAAATTATTTTCTTTTTGTATTTTAAAACAAGCTAAAAAAAGTCAAAATGGTTAAATAACAATTATGAGTATGTGTTGAAAACCATTACATTGTGTAATGCATTTTTAATTTGGTATCAGCAATTATGAATACTAACTATTCATCTCTATAATATGAGTAATWAACTAATAAACTAATAAATAATAATGGAATTAAATTTGATGTGGCCCTCCCCTACATTGGTCTGAAAGATTTTCTATWCAATACATATCAAATTTAATATCATTGAAGTTGAATTAATTTGGTAGCAAGTAATAATATGACTTAGTTACTATAGAATATGTTATGTTATAAATTGAATATGAACTACATGGGATTTAAACCTATAATTTTTAATGAAAGTAAACTCTATGGTGAACTATAAGCCTTAGATACTAGAAATTKTACCATTCAAATTAATGTTTTATGTTGTAATGTCAATGACAAAATAATTTCATATATTATTTTTGAAACTTCAATRATCGTTGATAAAGTGTTTGATAAGAAAACCAATTTCTCATATTATATGAGATTTGTGATTAATATTTATTGTGTATACCGTATGTGGCGCATAAAATAATTTTTTATACATTATTCAAAAAATTTGAATATTTTATGATTAGCAAAATAATTTCCATTCAACGACTATAGTCTATAAGAGATTAATAATTTTAATTGCTGTATACGTATTTAATTATTGATTTATATTAGGTATTTTTTACATAATATTCAAATGAAGTAGCAATAATTTATATTATAGTGTTTATGGTGTTATAATTCAAYACTAYGAGGATTGAGGCAATTRTGGGGTATTTATTTTTAATAATTTAGTGGTATATAATATAACAAAATTTATTATTTTACTATAGTATAGTTTTATATAATATMATTTTAGATTCTAAGTGGAATGATGAATTTATTGATTTTACTATATGTGTTTTTTTTCTTTTTATGTATATTGTTTACACCGTAAGTAGTTGAAATAATACTTTGATTATCAACTTCAGTTTTTTATTTAGTGGTAATATGAATCTAATTGGCACTTTAGAAAGGTCAAAATGGAAAATTTCMGAGAGTTTTAAACGTCAAGAAAAACAATAATTTATGCATAAAATCTATTTATTTTTTTTAGTGTAACTTAAAAATGAATAACCAAAAATTCATGAAATTTCCACCAAAATATGTTTATTTTTTTTGTTTTCTATACGATATACTTGCATGATTATATTTTCAGAATATTTTGACTCGTTTGGAGCTGTTATAGTCATGAGAAATTTAGTATTAACTTTTTATAAACATATAAAGTTAAAAGTTTGACCAAATTCAACAACTCAAAAATGTATCAAATGTTTAATTTTGATAGTTAAGGTTTAAAAATTAAAAGCAAGATTTCTCATAAATTATTTTATAACTTTACCAAGAAATCTAAAAAATAAATCAACATGGTTATTATAAATAGATTTTTTAATTTTGAATTCGCATGAGATTAGACGTTAAAGTCTTATATTATTTACATTGTTATCAGTGAAGCTGCACGAGGACTATCGCCATATTGTTGTCTGGAAAAACATTGGTTGGCATACACAAAATGTATATACGGAATAAATAAAATGAAATATTTTTTTAAAGGGAAAATAAAATAATAATRACAAAATTATCTATATAAAATATGTTTTTTTGTTACAAACAAAAATTCTAGAAATAATAAAATAYAGTAGGTACTATATCATTTAATGTTTACCATAAATACATGTATGATATGTCATATGTACCTACTATTTGCCAACCAAGAAAATGACGGAWCCCTGCTTCAATTAATGCCTGGAGTTACTTCTGGTTAATATAGAAATMTATGAAAAATATAGTTACATTATCATTATTATTATTTGCTTTCATGATAAAAATGAGTGATATCACAATAAAAAATCTTCCGTAAACTACGTGTAAAAATGGTTAAGTAAAATAAAAAATATTAAATCTTTAAGCACCATAAAGATGTGATTTCTTGAATAAATGCTAAGTATATTGAATTTAAGTAAACTTGTTTTGTTTCAATAATGTATTTAATTGGCGTGGAATTATTTAGAATAGTATATAAATATTAATAATAATATTTTAAAAATAATACTAAGTTATATTTTAATTATAGTCTTTCGCCGTTTAATTATTTTGTTCATCATACTTTGTTTCTTTTAAGAAATAATTCSTCGTCGAGTAATTAAATTATTGAAACAAAATAAGTTTACTTAAATTCAATATATTTAGCATATTTTATTCATGATATCACATCTTTATAGTGCTTAAGGATCTGATGATTTTTTTTTACTTAGTCATTCTTACACGTACGTARTTTTACGAAGAGTTTCTGTTGTGATTTGATTATCTATTAACACGAGTAATTGATTTGCTAATATTTATCATAATATACTTATTATTATTAGTCATTATATATTTCTTAAACTATTTTATACCTTTCTAAATAATAATTAAAACACAGCCTTTGAGCTAGGTTCCGTATAGACTGTAGTCCTGGAAAATATTTGGGTAGAAGAGCTTAAATACTCGATAGCATATAATATAGAGTTGCAAGGAAAAAATATTAACAAGTGTTGATTGGAAACATTAAAATGTGTTTACAATGTGCAAGGGAGTTCATAAATTTTTTTTTTAAATTAGTAACAATATTCCTATGAGTATAGGTACATATATTATGATTTGTCAGTATAACATTTCGGCGTATAATAATTGATAATATATATAATATATCGACGACTGRYGCGAGTCACTTTGTACGCTCGGATAATATGAGCAACGAACATAATAAACAGTACCTACATAATACGTGTAGGTAGGTAAGTAGTTAGTAGATGTCTAAAAGTTGATGTCTATTCAACCAAAGACGACTTGTTTCCGTCCGTCCTCAGTGGACTTGCAACGCAACCCGTGTCAGCTACAACCGGCTATTTCTGTGAATATAATATTATAAATCTAATACCTATATATAAGTTTATAACAATATAATATACGAGACTTTAGTGGCTTACACCCGCTTTGTATGAATACTATATATTATGATACATTTTATGCGTTAATTTCGTTTACTCTATCGATAATTCCTTTGTGTGTGRGTGTTTTTTTTTCTAACTTTGTTATTCCGGCGAGTCACGGTGTATAATTATTACACATGCACACTGCAGTTATATATTATATTATTGTATACAATATATCTCGAAAAATGTTTTATTATATACTATGCACGGTGTATGGATAGGTATKTACTATGTATATATCATGGATGGGTTATGGGTAGGTATTTAATGCTGCTCAGTTTCGTATAATATGTATTTTCGTATAAAAAAACGGTCCATGGACCAATAATATAATAACATATAATCGCCATCGCCGCGCACACCTTGCCGTTGCAGTCCTCGAAGATAGATTTTAAACTGGAGATAAAACAATTATTTAACACGATAAGCTACTGTTTTTCACCTGTACCTACTTGGAAATAATAACTATTCACGTGTTTACTCGGTCTCACAGATACGAGTTTCTAATCCCCCGTGACCGTATTTCAAGTATTTCCAACTCATATCTATTTACTATAATACTGTTTTATAACATTATACAGGTATTATAATAATAATGTACATAATATATTTTATATACTGCTGATTAACATTAAATGTATTATGTAGTATACATTATTATGTATACATTTAGTTTTTTTTTTTTAATGTTTTTCACGTTTTAAACAATAACGTCATTTAATTTCATATTTTGGAGCAAAATATACTTTTTCGAGAATTTCAATGCATGCAAAGTTATAATAGTACCTACCTAATTATAATTGGTTGTATAAGTATAACTATCGAACAACTAACCACGATAACGAATATTGGAAGAGAAAGTAAGTATAACAGAGTCTTGCTATACCTTTTCCAAAAGAATTTTTTTAGTTTTTCTTAGTTTCTAATTCTCTAGTTCACCATAAATCCTATATATAACTTGAACATAGTTTTCGGTCAAAAACAGTTTTATTGATGTAAGTATATAACAAACGTAAAATAAAACGCTCAGCCCATACTACGATTGTCCCACTTGCGTTTTCGCCGAATTTCACGACAGTGCGAATGGCTCGTGCCTGCAGAGAATGTAACGGTAGGTGTTGTATATGCAAAAATATTAGTGCTGCCTCAAAACATTTAAGATTCATTTGTCTGACCATTCATATACTTATTCGCTAAAATATATTACTATATATTGTATGCATAAATATCATTTATATTATAATTTACAATTTTATGGTTATCAAAGGTAGAATACAATAATTTATATGTATTGAAATKCATAGTAAATTATTCTGTTTAGGAAYATGATATAAAAAAAAAGTATTCAAAAAAATAATTAAGTCGTTTAAAAAAATTAAAAAATTAATAACGATTGGAACTATTAAAGTGTGATTATACATTTTTAAATACCTTCAGATCAGAAGCTTTATATAGAATGCCGGCTATAACTCGTGTCGTGTAAATTGTTATACTATCCTAATGGCTAATAAGCCTCTCAGAGATTTGAATACCTATAGCTAGGTAGGTACTTGAAAAATCCAGCGTTTTATTTTTGATACAAACTTGATCTGGAAAACCTCAAAAGTTATTGTTGTTTCCTTTGCTGCAGTGTGTATTATGTTATCATTATTTCGTTACCTAATTCTGTATAGTTGTTGTCGTCTAAGAACGTGAAACCTATATGCGTAGGCATATATATATATATATGTACAAAGCTTTTGTTGGAAAAAACTTCTTCGATATGCATTTCGTTATGCAGCTGTATGTAGATGTAATAATATATTGTGTATAGTTTATGT